TCCTGTGAGAATTAATTTTGAAAGTTTGGGAAAACTGACTGTGACTCTGCAGAAGCTCTGACCTTCAACTGTTTGTTTTTATTTTAAAGCAGCTCTTTGTGTCAAATCCACCACTGAGCCCATCCCTAATCTTCTCAGCCTCTTCACTTTACTTTACAGCCCAAACACCTTCATTAAGACACACTGCAGCGAGCGTTCACCGCCTTCAGCAGAAACGTGGTGTGATGAAAACCCCAGCAGTGGAGTGTTTGTTAGTGACAGTGAACAGACAGAGCAGGCGGTGCACATACAGAGGCAGACTGCAGCCAGCAGAGAGATGCTACTCTCTGGTGGGAGGCAGGAGGGGAAGAGGGGCTGCAGTATGTAGTTGGAGAAGGTGAGAGCAATCACTGCCTGGTTACTGGGGTAGACGATGAACACGGCGGTCCACAGACGGAGGAACCTGGCGATGAACATGGTCAATGAGTTAAAATTCTCTGCTCAGTTGATCTTTCATCATCATCATCATGAAATGCATTGTTTTAGGTTTAAATTTATGGTCGATATACGCTCTGAAGCAGTGTTGACTTTACGCCTTTTAAGTCCCCTTGCGCCACACAAAATGACTTGACGGGAAGTTTGACACAAAGTAATTCATTTTGAAAAGTTCAGCTGGTGTTTTAATTCTTCTAATCAGTGTTTTTTCCCCTCAAACATAATTCATTTTCTCTCTTTTGACTCTCACCCAGCAAGGCCACCGAAAATGTCTTTGACGTAGGAGTAGTCTCCTCCAGATTTGGGGATGGTCACGCCCAACTCTGCGTAACACAGGGCGCCAACAGCCGTGATGACTCCAGACAAGAACCATACAATCAGGGACACGCCCACTGAGCTGGCATTCTCCAGGACGCCTTTCGGACTGACAAAGATCCCTGAGCCGATGATGTTACCTTTGTGGGTAAAATGGAGACAAACACAGACGACAGGGAATGAAAAAAAGTCAGGAATCATGTGACGTAAACAGTGGCTTCAGTTTGGAAAATGTCGATTTCCCTATCGGACCCTTCCTGCTGCTTGTTTCCATCCCTGTGACAAATCTGGGTTCTCACCACATTAGTAGTCATCTATAGGATGAATTCAGACCAACGCTAATAACAAGGCTTCTTTATTGTCAGTGATGCAGCACCACAATTTGCGAAAACGGTTTCTGATGGCGATGGAAAGTGCAGTTTCTACATTAGTGGACGACCATTAGTGAGTGCTTTTTATCGACCTGTGCATGAGTCGGGCATCAACGAGGGGGGCTCTAATGACAGCTAGGATTTCTATGGTGCTATGAGAGTGTGTACGGAGGAGCAGGATGCTAATGTATACACTTTAGGATCATTGATGTAACTGAAAAGTCACAGCACCAAAACTGTCCTTTATGTTCACATCATTATTATATAATGTTTTTGGATATTGTGCTATTTTTTGAAAACCTTTAGCATTTTAGCTTCATGTTAACCAGTCAAGGGCATTTAACCTTTTTTTTTCCAATCCACAATTTACAAACTAAGAAACAGCATTTTATGAGCTAACCTTCGTTAGCATGAGCTACTTAGCATGTCTGGATAAATTATTGCTTTTTTTTTTTAAATCACCAATGTTTGGTGATCAGTTGGTTGAATCAGATGTCATTCACATTTAAACAACAGCCTTCCAGGGAATTCACCGCCTGAATCAACACAATTAGCTCAGAGATTATTCTCCAGCTCTTTAGCATGCCACCAGTGTTTTTTTATCATCCATTGAGCACTGATTATAAATGTAGCAATTATCCTTGTCATTCATAACGCCCGTGTCTGTGACACATCGACACGGCTGCTGTGACACAGACCTATTGTTTTCAGCAGCCGTCAAACGGCCGTGATGAATTACACATCAATCAAATGTTGATTTCTTCTTCTTTGTTGCTGGGTTTGTTTTGTCGTCTCTACACACCACACAACTTCAACACCTGAAAGAGTGCGATCAAACTCACAGAGTGTTTTGTCTGCTGCTGTCGAGAGCCTCTCAATTAACAAATTTACTGTGTTAATCTCATCACAGGGGAAATTACTGGCTACAGAAAACAAAAATTGACCTCCAGCGCAGGATGGATCAGTTGTAAATAAAATCTGGATTTAAATATGAATTAAACTTAGCCTCAAACTGGCCTGAAGCACTAGAAAGATCCATCCATTAGCTACAGCTAGGGTCGCTGGGGAGGGGCAGCGTTGAAATGACTCAAATTAACTGAATATACAGTTTGAAGAAGACAAGTTATATCTAAAGAAATATAACTTTAGTCTTCCACTTTGACCTTTACTTTGATGTACTTGCCTATGATAATGGCACAAGCGCTACCAAGACCGATTTGTTTCTTCAAAGCTACCACAGAGTTTTCGGCATCCTTCCCTCCAGCAGATGGCGCTCTCAGGGGTTCAGAGAGACTCCCTCTGTCTCCACCTCCACCACTGCTGCCGCTGCTGCTCCGTTTCCTTGGACCGTCGCTCATCCTGACCACGTCCTTGGTGCTTCAGCTAATGGAGGCCGCCTCTGTCTCGCTCACAATTTAATCTGTTAAAGATATGAAGTAGCATTGCTCACAACACAGTTCTGAGCTGACGTTGACCTGTTGATGGGTGTACTTGTTTGCTTTTGCCATCAGCTTTGAGACACTATTTATCCTTTTAAATCTTTTTTCACCCACTAATCTTTTGACAGTTCTTGACAAGTCATTTCTCAACACTTTTATCAGCTGTAATTTATCTTCAGTTACATTTTTCCAAAAGTAATTGTGTAAAAAAAATATTAATTGTCTAAATAACCTTTATTTTCAATCAACTCATTTAACCATGGTCTTTTTAATTTATTTTATGTAACATCGTTGTTTGCCATAGTTATCATCCAGGAGAGTTAAATGTGCTACGGAAGCCTATTTGGACATTTTCACACCGCTATGATCAAAACACAGTTTAGCCTCCGGTGTTTAGCTACTCATTAAATGCTCAACTTCAAAACGATATGTTTGTTAAACGGGCCTGCGGTCTGCACTCAACTGAGTATTTATAATTAAATTAACGATCAAACCATCAACGATGCTGCACTGATTAAAACCCACCGTCTGTGTCTTCACCAGCCCCGGGCTTCATGTTGGTCCTCACTCCTCTCATGAGCGGCTGTGATCGAAACCTGCTCTCAATTCACCGTCTTCATTAATAGAAAACCTGGTTCGTTTTAAACCAATCAGCGACTCCAAGACGTTTTACGTCACATGCCCCACCAGCCCTTGCGGTGGCATTTGTTGTTTTATGGTGTTAAATACTCGAGTAAAAAAAATAAAAATAAAATATATATAATGTATATATAAACACAATAATCATGTGTCAAACTGAGCCGAATTAAAATTAATTTTATTCTTCGAATTTTACAAATTATTTCAAGGAACAGATTTAGTTTGAAATGCCATTTGGAAAATGAAAAGAAAGATTTCTTAAAAAATAATGTAATGTATTACATCCATCATAGCAACCAGAGTTAATTGAAATATTTGCCATATAAATGTATAATTATATAAACCTCAAACATATTTAATTTTCATGTATAATCCAAGGCAAAAAACGACAAGGAAGAAACGTTCAAACAGTTCAGTATCGTCTTTATTGACAGGATTCAATCAAACATAAGAAAAATCAAAGACAAATACAAAGAGGATCAAACAGCTTCAAAACAACAAGGGCTGTGGGACTTGAAGTGCATTCATCTTTTTAACCATTACGTTGACGAAAATGTATTTGAATCATGGTTTGTGAACCACGGTGGAATGTGTGTGGGACAGGTCTGGATTGAGTGTGTACTTTCTGACTGAAGGGCGAAATAAATGCAACAAAAATCACTGAGAGTTTGATGTTCACCTAACGGGAAGAAACTAATGTCACAGCGACAGTGTTGTTTACAGGTAATAACAGTCCACACCTGCTGCAGAACAGACGGTGAGAACACAGACGGTGAGAACACAGACGGTGAGAACACAGACCAGATCCAAAGTGATACACGTGGTCTTGTAAAAACCAAACTAAACAGAAGTGTATGTGAAGGAGCAGTTTATCTGCCGCCTCTGAGGAGTTCTCATCTTCACAGGCCGATGGTGTAGGAGCGCCCCGCTGGGTTATGGATGGCAGAACATGAAGGCTCCGTCACGGCCCATTCGTACCAGACCTTCTTCCCATTGTTGCAGCGCCAGAACCTGACTGCGATCTCATCTTCCCGGGATACGGAGATGGGTTGCTGTTGAAATGGACAAAAAGGAGGCGTACTTTTAAAAACACTGAGGATCAAATATGTGGGTCAAAAAAAAAAAAAACACAAGTAAAAAAAAAAAAAAAAAGCAAATAAAGCTATTTCTATACAGATATAACAGTTTAGGATTTAGGATCAGGTTTTATTTTTATTTTCCTTCTACATTTTCTGATTGTTTATATATATTTATATGACATTTTGTTGAATTTCATCTTAAATATAATTAAGGCATTTATATGACATGAATTTCATCTTAAATATAATTAAGGCAGAATCTGTAGTAAAATCTGTCACTTCTGAACGTTTTGATCGACCTTTCAGTAATTTTACTCACTTTGAGAGGAAACAGGATGGGGAACCAGGAGAACATTCCAGGTGAATGTGTATCTGGTTTTATACCTGATGTAAACAGAGTTCGACAGAAAAGAAAACATAAAATCAGATAAAACATCAGGACAACAATTACTTTTTCTTCTTCTTCTCTGTCTCTGACTTACTAAGTGTGACATCCTTGAACAGTGTGGCTTCAAAGTATCCAGCAAAGCCGTGGAGCACAGAGTTACAGCCCGCGGAGAATCGGAGACACTGGTACCGGTTGTTGTTCATATCTGAAAGTGAGGAAGAAGAGGTTTCTCTACTACTGCAACGTCGCACAGAGAACATGTTTTTATTTTGTACTGGCGTCACTGCTGTTTACCATCGGTGGGGTGTTTGAAGGTGAAGCAGGCTTTGGGCTCGGCCAACTGGTGGAAGTTGTGGAGGCGAACGACGTAGGGCGTCTCGAAGTGACACTCGGGGTCCTTGTCCCGCTCCCGGCAGCCGCGGACTTCGTTGTACAACTTGGAGGAGGAGAGCGGAGCCAGGAAGGACGTGTAGGAAGAGGGGATGCTGACGCCGCCGTCTGACGGTGACATGATGAGACGGAGGGAAGAAGAAAGTGAAATGGGATGCAAGTAAGCGTGAAAGCTCCGGAGCGCTTCATTAACTCTGAAGCTTCACAGGAGTCACATTTGTTTTTCTTGCTGACAATAAACTCTGGATCGTTGATAAAGCTGCAACAACTCGCTGACAGAAATGAGCACAATGAATAAATTAATCACCCGCCACATGAATTGACTTATTAAATAACAATCTGATGTTTTGGATTTATAAAGGAATAGATCTGTAAAAAAGGCCCCACAAGGACAAAGTGACCCCACAGTCCTAGAACACAGCCCATCCCCACCCTCCCGGTCACATGACACACACTGGTGGTGTTTACCTTTGAGAAAGTGCTGCGCTCCATCGAGACACTCTGGAGAGAGTTCGTTGTCACCAAATGATCCCAGCAGCTCGCTGACAATGATGTCTGCTTTCTCTGGCGCCGCCCACTCCCGCATGTCACATGACACCACGGTCACCTGTTCACCCCACTCTTCAAAACGCCAATTCTCCAGCCTGGAAAAATGTCAGAGATTAAATAAAATGTTTAAAATGTCATTAAAAAAACAACAACAAAAAAAAGAACTGTAGTATTGTACATACGTGACTACAGCGTTGGGATTCTTCTCCACGGCGTACACACGCAACTTCCTGTCCGCCTGCCTGGCAGCTCGCAGAGATGCGTTGACTAGAGGGCCTCGACCCGCCCCCAACACCATCAGCACCCTGTGTGACACAGAGTGAGAGTAGAGAACGTTAGACCTGACACAAAGTAGCATTTCTTTTAAAAACTTGGACGGTTCTTTGTATGAAGTGAAAAATGTTCTGCCACGTACTGGACGTTTGTGTCTTTCTGCTCTTCAGGAACTCGGTCAAGTAGACATTTATACACAGCCTGAAAAAACAATGAGAGAAGCCACAAAAAAAAAAAAATTGGATTACAATCTAAATTAGTTATTATAATTGCAGCAAAAACAGGTCGTTGAAAAAGAACGTCTCATGCACTGGTTGCCGTGCATCTCAAGGCTAGCAACACATTTTGGGTGCATTACTGCCACCTACAGGTCTAGATAGTTTGCATAAACTTTACCAGTGTAGTTGGATTACAATAGTTTGCATAAACTTTACCAGTGTAGCAGAAATCAGGAGACTGTGATTAAACTCTTTATTGTTTTAACATTTGATTTTCCGTTTAACTGCCCAACAACTCGTACCTGCTGATACTGTGAATATTTGATAGGATCCTTCTCAAATACTTCATATGTCTGTGACTCCAGATTGTCCATCAGTGGCTGGAGAAAAAAAACCCATTCAGTCAGAAACATAAATAAACAATATGACGTCTCACTCATGAACATATGGAGGTCTTCCTGACCTGTAGGGGGGACTGCAGGTAGTCTTCATAGCCTTTGGCGAAGAGCTCATACGAGTTAGGTGAAGGTCGGTTCTGGTTCAGATATTCCAGATACTGCAGGTAGGATCTGAAATCCTTGTCAGAGTGACGACTGGTGCCTGTGAAGATGAACTGGGCCTCCAACTGAGAAAAGGATTTTTTTTTTTAAATAAAAACTTCCCAGGTTTAACTGAAAATACTAATCTATTTCATAAAATAACCCATGTTTCTGTACCTTAAAGAGACGAAAGATGATTCGCTGGTGGGCCTTGGACAGAACGGGGAAGCCCTTCTTATTGGTGAGGAAGATGCTGGTGGGAAGTATGGCTGCCTTGATTGGTTCACCGAGCCACTTATCGACCACCTCATCTGACGGCATGTCTGCTCCAATTTCAACAGCTTCAAGAAAGAAAAAAAAAACAATAAAAAACCCCCAAAGAGTCCAAGTGAGTGACGGACAAAAACACACACTATTTTTTTCCTCCACTCTTTTAATGCAGTGAAGTGCCCCGAGGCGGCTGGTTCTCAGGGTCATCTCTCACCTAGACAGACCCTCTTGTTGTAATCACACAGAGTTCTGAATGAGTGCCACCTGAAAGAGGCAAGTAAACAAAACCAGTCTGGATGTTAAAGGAAATCAATCGCAGCTGTTTTAGTATTCAGAGCGCACTCGGCTGCTCATGAGGTAAAACTCTGTAAAAACCCACCAACTCCAAGTCTTCTCGTCAATACTTGTCTCGTCGATGCAAGTGGCGGCTTCGTTCTCAATCAGATCCTCCCGCACGTCCTCCGGATCCATTAGTGGGACTTGTATCCAGAACTATTCAGAGTCAGAGAGAAAACAGCGGATGTTTGAATTCCCCGTCACCGTCTCCCTGCTCTTTATTTGCTCTTTTTGGGTTTTGTAGCTCGAGTGCGCCTTACGTTTGAGGAGTGGTGTCCTGTTTGGATGTGGTTCAGAAGCACACGAGCGAGATTGGCACAATGTGGACCCCTCAGAGGGATCATCAGGACAGGAAGCCCCAGGTAGGCAGAGAAGTTCAGCTCCTGTGCCAGAGCCTGGAGAGAAGACAGAGTAGGAGAACATGAAGGTCAAGAAGAGACGACACCCGTGGAACAAAGTTCACCTCCGTCAGTCGGTGGGTTCTAAATCCATTCCTATTCAGTTCTACATCAGAAGAAAGAAGAACTTACTGCCTCGGAGTTCCTGCGTTCCGTCTGGATTTCTGAATCTGCGTCGATCCATGGAGACAGTTTCCCAACAATCAGAGTGTTCCAATCTGAAGAGACGGCACAGATGTTTGTAAAGAGCTCGCCAGTTGTCACGTGATGTAAACAAAACTCACAGTAAAAAAGTAGTCAGGGCAAAAACAACAGATTTTTAAGTGAATAAAACTTGTTAGTGACAGGCAGAGTGAGCTGATGATGTCACTGATGAAGTAATATAGCCTCGCTACTACAGGAAAGTAAAGTTTCCATTAAATCACACTTCAGTTCTCTCTTTAATGTGGTTTCCTCTGTAACCAGAGTCTTCATCAGAGTTGCTTAGTTTTTTCTTTAATTTTTTTTACATCCTCTAAAATCAAATTAGAGCTGGATGAACTTTTATTATATTAATTAACTGCTTGGCCTTGAGCAACTCTTCCTGTCATAGCATTGAAGACAGTGTGTGAAGGACCAGGACTTACCTCTTCCACACAGCAGCAGGTCGGACCTGGTCTGGGCTCCAGCTCTGGATTTAGCGGGTTCTAACTCAAACTCTCGTTTAAATCTCGGGTGGAACAGGGGCATGCACAGGAAGTCAAACCTGCAACCAGGGGAAACAAAGCAGCGCTACTTTATAATGGAGTCATGTTGAAATGCAGGACAATCGTATCTTTCTTGCAGGTTCCAGTAGAGAACCCTCTGAAGACGCCGGACACCGCGGTATAGCATCCTTATAATTAAACACGTGTTGCCGATTCACCGGCTAGCTTAGCAAACATCACATCAACTGACATTAAGCTAACCAATCAGCGGCTCCATCTCCTAAACACGCGACGGGTAAAACACTGTAAGTGCAGAGTGTGAGACGCTCCTCACCCAAGTTTGGCGACCACGGCTAAAGTGTCGGCGACCTCAGGCACACAGTTCAAATCTCTCCCGCAGGACAACCTACTCCTCGTGCTGGCAGACGCCATGATAGCAGCCGACTGAATGACTGGCTCCGGTACAGTGTTGCTCAGCGGGCGGTTGAGGAAACTGACGCCATTTTGGATCTGAAAGCGAGGATACAGACCCTTGCGTGATGTAACGTTTACGAGCCAAAATGGCCAGTGACAGAGCTCAGTTACGTGACAAAATTATCGCGATATCTGTGCGTTTTTCCCATTTGGAGAAAAAGCCTTTTTCTTGTAATTTCTCTTTTAATAAAAATAAAATATGGGGATGTATATTAATTTTTATATAAATAAAACTTTTATTATTAAAATAAATAAAATCACGTGCTGTTCTTTGTGGCAAAAAGAAGAAGAATCCACAGAAGTACCATATTTTCCCTCTTGACAAGCTTTGGACATCTTTGACACACACTAAAATATAAGAAAATGCATCTGTTGGTTATTGAAGCACCGTAACAACAAAAAGAAAATGAAAACATGTCCAGTTCTGCTCATAAGACAAAGTCACCAGATCAGTGGCGTGTATTTGTATATCATGTTCACAGCAGGGGTATAGAATATCATTAAAAGGGCTTTTATCATTTTGGATTTTTAATGTGCAAAGTATCATATTAGTGGGAGATATATAAGGGCGAAACTTTCGCTCTTAGGTAAAGAAGACAGTAGATAAAGGAGTGGAGGCATTGACTGGATTCATTTATTTTTTTTAATTCACTATTTTCACAAACAGGGAAACTTTTTGACTTGTGTGTTACAGAGAGGATTATGGCTTTGGAAGAAATTTGCAACTTCGTGAAAACTCCTTCAGAGTTCCCGTCTTTGTCTTTAGAAGGTACAGCTTCATCTTTATACCTGACTGATTATACATTTCAGTTGACCAACAACAGCCTTTTGAACTTTGAAATCCCGAATTCTGCTTTACTTTTCTCGGAAAACCACCCATCGTCCGTGTCCAGGCCCTTTCTTTTGACTCATGGAACAACAACTCTTGGTTTCATCTTCCAGGGTGGGGTCATTGCGGCCGCAGACACACGAGCCAGTGCAGGGGGACTTGTAGCGTGCCCATCCAGTCATAAGGTTATCCCCATTCACTCCCACCTTGTGGTGACCTCCTCAGGTAGCAGTGCAGACTGCACACTGTGGAAGAGGATACTGTACCGGGAGATGAGACTCTACGAACTACGGAACAAAAGGCGTCTGTCAATACGGGGCAGCGCAAAACTTTTAGCATTTATGCTGCATCCCTTCAAAGGGACTGATGTGTGTGTGGCCCTTACTCTCTGTGGCTGGGACAGGGCAGATGACGACAGAGAATACAGAGAGCAACCACATGATTCTTCCTCCTTTCTGGCCTGTGGTCATAGCTCATCAGCAACAGCTAGTGATACTACAATACGATGTTCTGCATCCCCTAACTGTGGCCCAAAGCTGATATTTGTGTGCAGTGACGGAACCCGATTGCAGAACAACGTCATTTCTGTCGGGTCAGGTTCTCCTTATGCTTATGGAATTCTGGACGACGGTCTGAGCTGGAACTTGAGCAACAAAGAAGCATTCTCTCTGGCCAGACAAGCAGTGTTCAGAGCCACTCACAGGGATGCCTACTCTGGAAACAACGTGGACCTCTTCCATATCACGGCCGAGGGATGGAAGCAAAGGGAGAGGGAGAACCTAAGAGAAGAATATTACAGAGACATGGAGAGAAAAGCAAAGGAAGTGGAGGAGCGAAAAAAAGAGACACTATTAAAAACTGCAACATAAAACATAGTGTATTTGTATACAGCGGAATAATTTAAATTTAGATTCTTCCTAATTACTGTATTTTTCTGTGGTACTAATTCTATTGTTCCCTACTACCATACTTACTCCAAAACATGTTTTTATGTATCTGTTATTTCTGGTTTTTCCTCTTGTTATGTATTTAACGGACATAAAAAGTGCTGCTGCGATTTAACAAATGTATTTAATCAATTATAACTTGGAACATGTTGAAATTTACTCTCTGTAATACGTGATACAATTATAACTTGGAACGTGTTGAAATTTACTCTCTGTAATACGTGTTAATGGATTATTAAAATATATCTTGTAGAAATGCGTACATAACGGTGAATACTGTTGATATTCAGTTTAACTTTTTTTTTAAAGACACGGTCCTCCGGAGCCACTGGTGGCGCTGTGAGCTTAACTAAGACTGGATAAATGTTCCTGAGTTAGCTGCGGAAGCTGCTTGCTCATCCCACAGTTACAAAGATGGCTCTTGCTAGTGTATTGAAGAGTGAGTGTGCGGATTTTTCATTTGATAATAGTTACTCTTTTGCTTTTGGATATGATAACGCACAGAGCGCTCCAGGTCTTGATTCTGTCCCGGGAGAAAACATCAGTTTTACCATCAGGAACCCGCTTTCTGCCCCGGAGGAGGGTGACATCGAGAGGAAAATAGAGTTTCTGCATGGAACCACCACGTTAGCATTTAAAGTAAGATGACGAGTTCTTAAAACATATATTCACTACATATCTGAGCGGCTTTGTATTAACATAACTCTCTGGCTATGTAGACTGGAAATATACCTTTTGAATTTAACGCTTCTGTACCTGTTAGCACGTTAGCATGCTATCGGCTAAAATCCGCTTTCTCATGGCAAGTGCTCATACATTCGTACATGTTTACGTACATAGATGGATGTAATTTTTTTTAATAAATGTTAAATTCGTTCGTTTTTGTTGTATGGCTCAGAAACCTTAAAATTGACCTGGCCATAACTAAATGACAACTGACATGATCTAAGTATTAAACATTGTGTTTACGTTCCTCCTAATTGTTGTCTGTTAGAATGTTTAATTTTACGTAAATCCACTTAATTCGGTACACTCGTTGAATAGTCAATGTAACAGTTGTAAAGTTTTCTCTACTACATTGTTAATGGCAGAACAACAATAACCTTTTATAACTATGGATGGAGTATTTAGTACCAATATAGCATCACTTTTGCATAGTAAAATGGAAGAATGGCAGACAAATTTGCATCATTATGGATTGAATTCCAATTGAGGATTTCAGCATCGTAGGGTCTAACCTTGCCCTAGCAGGGCCTTTTAATGAAGTGGACAGAGACTATACAGTGTGTGTACTTATGAATGTTTTTTATGTATCTTAATTGTCACTGTAGTCCTGCTAACAAGTTACAGAAAATATAAAAACAACTCTAGTGTTAATGAGGAAAAAGGGTGAGAGATGAAACCATTTTTTCCCCCGATTGAGTTGCTAAATCAATGTGGAGAAAATGTAAAGTTAATTAACACTAAACAAAGACCTGATGTGAATCTAAGGATATTAAATTCCCTTACAAAATATCATGATTTCCTCTATCGATCTTCCACCCTCTGGTTTTAAAATGTCTTCTACCTCTTGGCCACAGGCCATACTATTAAATTTGGGTGACTTATTATCTTGTCATGGGAAAGAAAATAGCTCTTGTATCTTGCCTGTCAGTGTGTCAGATGCAGTGTAAATAGTGAACTCTCTCCCCGGTGTTGTTTATAGACTCTTCAGGGGATTTGTTGATAAAAAGAAAAGATAAATAATGCCAGCCGTATCCCATAATCCCCGAGCGAAGTGCAGGCTGCTTCAGTGAAAACATTCGCAGCAGGTGTCTCGCTCAGATCGGCTGAGTCCGTTGGTCTGTGATTACTTTGAAACGCTCTGATGAAGAGCTCTGACTGGAATAATATAAGCTGAAGATCTGTAATACCGTCACCTCAGCAGAACCCAAACATATCTGACACTTCCCTTGTGTTTTCTTTCCTGCTATCACAAGCCTTATCTGTGTCTTTTTCTCCTTCTGTCTCCTGCCTTTCCTAGTTCCAGCATGGTGTTATCGTGGCTGTGGATTCTCGGGCTACGGCGGGTTCCTACATTGCATCACAGACTGTGAAGAAGGTGATTGAGATCAACCCCTACCTGCTGGGCACCATGGCTGGAGGTGCAGCCGACTGTAGCTTCTGGGAACGTCTGCTCGCTCGTCAGTGTCGCATCTACGAGCTTCGCAACAAGGAACGCATCTCGGTGGCGGCGGCCTCCAAGCTGCTGGCCAACATGGTGTACCAGTACAAGGGCATGGGACTCAGCATGGGAACCATGGTGTGTGGATGGGACAAGAGAGGCCCAGGTAAATGCCACAGGTTTAGGTGTCACAATTAATCTCTGTTCCAGTCTTAATTAGTTCTGGAAGTGCTATTGGAGTAGGATAAAACATTTAGAACAGTAGTAGAACAGACTAAACTACACATACGTTGCACATTAGAACATTATTTTCTGCTTTAATGCACTTGTTATGTAAACAGGAATATTATTAGTTATGTACCGTAGTTGTACTAAAGCGCCTCTTCAGGTGTTTGTTTTTTTTAAATTGCTATGGTAATGGAACAAATCTTACAGTAAGTCTTTGTCCCTGATTTCAAAGTTCTTCATTACTCTCACATTAATGAGCTCAGTATCTTTGTATTTTATCTTTGTTTTGTAGCCTCATCACTTATTAACAGTATTTTACTCCAAGCTAGAATTAGAATCAACAAAACTGTTTTTTCGCTTTAATTACCTGCTCTTTAAATGCTTGTCTGGAGAACATTTACATTTTTTATTATTGACTGGCAGCTCTGGCAATGTTCCGCACATTCCGTTCATTAACATTAACAGATCACACTTTGAGTTTTCATTACCAGTGTGTCCACGTCACCATCATTCATCTCTCAAACCGTGTTTGAATGTGTAATTAACCGCTGGGCATAAATCTGAAATCAAGGTCACCGATGAAACACACGGGCGCTTCCCGTAGTTTTCCACTAGATGGCACTGCAGCTTCTATTATGCTCTCATCCTCTGTTACTTGAAGCTGTGGTTTTTGGATGCCACAGGGTGGTGAGGCCATACATCACAGAAGGTGTGCTTAAAGAGGCTGCCACGGTGACACGGTAATGGGAAATCGATACGGGTGGGACTGCGGGCCAGTGTGAGCGCGCTGGGATGATAGACGTCGGGCCTCAGCCCTTGACAACTGGGTCACATGCATAATGCTTGTTCATCTAGCGAGATCGATGCCTCCTTTGTCTGAAGAGCATCGAGTTACGTGTGAACAACACGGGCCCTCTGGTACGCCAACAAATGTAAATGACACGTGTTAAATTCTGGGAAAATCAATTTGGGAAATAATGATCCTTTTATAGGATCAAGAGGTGTTTGAGCTCAGCCACGGCTCCCACAATGGCTGTGATTGAATAGAGAGGTAAATGTCATGTAAATTAAATCAATCGTGATTAGGCAGGGAGCTCGTTAGCTAACTACAATCATGTCAAGAACACTTATTCCCCCGGTGGAGTTTCTTAAGCTGCATGCACACAATAAATCCAATAAAAAGCCATGTTGAATAGGTTGACAAATGCACTTCACAGCCATGTAATAGAATTAAATGTTATGACACGTTTAATCAGAGCATGGTTGATGCCCAACAGCCCTGAATGTGCTTTTACATTGACGGAGGAAAAGTGACTTTGTTAATGGCCGCCCTCCCACTGCTCCTAACAATGATAGGATCCTGAACTACTGAATGTGACATTCATGCTGTGAAATGAGAGCACGGAGAAACATAAACATATTTAAAGTAGTTTCTTCTCAGGGTGGAATATCATATTGGTATTTATAATCGAGCTAAATGTATAATCATTTTCAAGTTGTCGTCCAGTCCTAAACAAAAGCCACTTATTCTCTGCTTTTTTAAAACAAATATTCCTGATCCAAGGGATCTTTTCTTTGGGATCTTAAGTACAAATAATTTGAACTTTATTGATCCCATATTTGGGAAATTCTTGTGTTAACAGCAGATTAGCTGCTACAGGCTCCCCCTGGGAATCGACCCCAATATTATGTCCTGAAGAGACTGTTCCAGAGAACACGGGGACAGGCCGCTACACTGTATACAGTATCCCGTTAATTACTGACACTGTGCTGCAGTGTAGGAACAGCAAATAACAGCAACCGGTTGACAATAAAAATGCCACAGAATCAACCAACCAACCAGAAGATTTCCATTGGAGGATAAGTATGTGTGTTTGTGGGTGTGTGTGTGTGTCCATTAGAGGACCCCAATATTATGTCCTGAACAGACTGTTCCAGAGAACACGGGGACAGGACTCGCTCATCCAAACTCAGTCCAGCAGCGGCAGCCTCCCATCCCCAGCACAGAGCTCCTCACCTCGTCCTAAGAGCTGTCAGCCCAGAGCCAGCTGCACTGGCTGCTGTTTAAAAACCGCCTGCTTAAGCACCTGTCACCTGATTGATGGAGTGGAAGCAGCCCATCTCGGCTGCCGCCGCAGTGCTCTTTTCAACGTTCTTCCACTTAGCTGCGGTGTGGGCCGCATGAATTCCAACCCTCTTTCTTCTCGTTGATGTCGGCACACGTTTTTATTTCTGCCAGTGTTTGAGGCGCACGCACCGTCAAGTGATACCACATCGGGCTGCACAAAAAGCCCAGATGTGTTTGGAATGGACTGGATGGTGAGATGTGCTTTTTGGTGCTGCGCCGCTTCTATACTTGGACCTCCTGAAGAGGTCCTCATCCACCACAGTCAACTGTGCTACTCAACACGAGAGGCTGCCTTTACAACCCGCTCTCCCTGCCTATTATTTTTTTTAATGAGTCCCTTACAGTTTTCAAGAGGAACAGGCAGGTCTCAGAATGGCAAATTACCCCTGTGCATCGGCAGGCACTGGATGATTAGTGGCAAACCGGCGACAGGCTGAGGAAGCTACAAATTGCTAGTTGAAAGGCATGGTGAGATTTTATTTTATTTTTTTTTCGTCTCTTCCTCCTCCAGGAAAGCAAGGCTGTGTCTATCTCTCATAGACCATCAGCAGTTTAGCAGAGGAGCTCGCACGAGGACGTGCTACCTGAAGGCATTTTTAAATTTGTTTTTAATGTGTGAGATGAGCAATGATAATAGGCTGCGTTCTACACATGTGCCTCTGTGGTTCTCTCTGTGGGTGTCACTTCTCACAGGTTTCTTCTTTGTCAGGCGCCATGAAAGGCGTCTTTTCGCCGGCTGTCTCTTTACCATTTACAGGCTGGCCGTGGGCGAGCTCACAGGCTGGTGCTTGTCACCCGCTCAACGTCACTCTGGGATCAGGCCTGGCGAGTGTGTCATGGTGTGGAACAAAATGCCTCACACGTGCCCACAGAGCGTGGTGTGGCGCAAACTGTGGCTCACAGATCCGTCAGAGCAGTGACGGCACATGGGATTACACATTTGGTCGGCTGGTGGCCTGAATCCGTGACTCTGTGTGTGATTAGGATGTCTGTGCCTCAGAGTGATGTGCAGGTGAGGGAGATACTGCAGACCCTGTACTTGTCAGATATCTGCAGGATGTCAGCTTACCACGGGATTTTTTTTTCTTCCCCCCCATCCTCATTTTGACTGGGCCGAGGTGCAGTCACCTGTGCTCCTCGGGTTGCCGGTCGATAGTTAATTTTTGGCATGTTTACGGGGATCAATAAGGCCTGGAGCGGGGCTGCTGGGCAGGCACTGATGTGGCCCGAGCCTCGTCAGCAGGTTCTGCGGCCGCCTTCATTTTTACTCCAAGAGGATGCAGCTGTTCCTATCTGCCACACTTACTTCATTTAGAGAGGCTGCAGCTGTTCATATTCCCTCTCGAGGACACTGTGTGTGTGTGTGTGGCTGTGTGATTTTTAAATTAGTGTGTTATTTGGTATTAAAGCAGCGATGCACTTTCTCCTCTCAGTTCTTCTGACAAAACTCCACACTGAGCGTAGATGAACGCTACTGAACAATTGGACTGTTTTACAAAGACCGTCTCTGAGCAGGGTGTATGTTTGAACAATGCTGGAGTCTGATGATACGACACATCACCACAATACAGGGGCGAACAATAGGAGATGCAATACTACAGACACAACAATATATTGATTGATTTTTTTATTATTTAATTGTAGTCCAAGTGTGATCCTAGTCTCAGACTCTGCTGCTGTTCCATCTGAACATCAGGTTACTAACGTCGGAGCAGAGGGATTTACATCTGTCAATCACTAGAGAAGAAAGAAAAGAATTTACAGGATTTTTTTGATAAACACATATTTACTCATAGTCTTAAATACTTACAAATATATACAGTCATACGCTGATATTTAATACTTTTACTCTCTACTGTCTGTGAGTCACTCCATGATGATAACAAGGAGCAAACATGGGTAGATGAGCCACACAAGATGATTAACATGCTTGGCTCCAGGCGAGAAGACAACCAGGTTGCTGGTTTGGTCCCTGGTTTTTATGTACAGAGTTTGGAAATTAGTTTTACTCCCGATCCTTATTTTATTCCCTGGTGACTAAACTTCTTCTTCACACGTTCTCTTCTCAGGGCTCTACTACGTGGACTCGGAGGGAAACCGGGTGAGTGGAGACCTGTTCGCCGTGGGCTCGGGCTCCATGTACGCCTACGGCGTTATGGACAGTGGCCTGCGCTACGACCTGTCTGTGGACGAGGCCTGCGAGCTCGGTCGCCGCGCCATCTACCAGGCCACGTACCGTGACGCCTACAGCGGCGGCCAAGTCAACCTGTACCACGTCCAGAGTGAGGGCTGGACCAGAGTGTCCCAGGACGACGTGCTGAAGCTGCACCAAAAGTACAACGACCAGGAAAAGTTAGAAACAGCCCAGGAGTGAGTTAGGCTAGGAGTTTGTATTAAACACTTGTTGTAAAATGTTCCAAAATGTCACGAGGGTCAACAGAAAGACTCAACTTTAAACATGTTAGTGTGTGTGTGTTAGTCCTGGCTGCAGCTCAGAGCCTCACGGCTGCTTCAAACACAGCACGTGCTTTAATGCAGCGCAGCAGTCGGACGACGTCGTTGCTCTACAAACATCCAATTTACATTGTACCCTGAAAAACGACATCTTTCTCAATAAAAACCTCTGATGTTCTTTTCCAACAGTGTTGTTCTTGTTACTTTTTAAGTTTTCATTTTCCCCCCCTATAGGTCACAAAGTCGGCGAGTAAGTGGCTGAATGTTTCTCCCAGTCTGCGCTTTCATGTAAATGAAAGCCTCATCCTCTTTTGATGTTGTCATTTTGGATGCTCCTGTTTACATTTCACTCAGCTGCTCTGCCAGATGTTGGGATTTGACGTACACGCAGGAGCCGGTGCCGTCGCCTCTATATGTTCTGCCTTTATTAGCAGGGATTCGCACTGTTTAAACGGCACTGTTTAATTGCATACCTCCAGCCTCGGTAATTGTGCCTCCTGAGTTGTAACGGTGTGTGTGTTTTCCTCCCTCCATTGATGGTGTTCTCTCCCTCCGCCTGCGTCGCACAAATACGTCTTTTAATTGGAAAGAGAAATTTATTCTTTAATTCCTTACTCACACACTTGGCTTCTCCGCTGCACCGCGCTGCGTGCCACACTGCCACGGTGTTTTACAATGTAATGACCAGCGTTGGCACTCGGCGCCCCTCCGCTGGTTTTTATAGTTGGGAATAAACACTAATAAAGGGGACGGATAGACATCTGAAGCTGGTGCACTCTCAAACCATGGTTAAAAACTAGTTTCACAGGTGACCAGTTAGCAGATGGAATTGAAATGGGATTTCGATAAATGGAAATGAGCGAGGCTCGTCTGTGACGCCGCTCCTGCTAAATGAAGTGATGGGAATTGCACCATCAATAGAAGCGCATGTTGGCCGAGTGAGTGTGCAGGTGCCCACCGAGAGGCTGTATTTGTAAAATTGGAGCAAAAGTGGATAAAAGCATTAACATGTGGTGGAACTCTTTTTAAAAACATTAATCATCATGCAGCGCAGCACTCAGAGCTCCGAGAACGGAGCTTTTCCCACAGATGGATGGAAAATGGCAAAATAACACGTAGAGAGTTTTAGCAGCAAAGTTTCCGTAACACCAATGGAAACTGAAGACTTCCCTCAGTCGTCACCTTCTTTAGGAGCTGCTGTTTCGCTGTGTAATTCTTCGAGGTAGGATTTGACAAAAGCCCCGGAGACACTGGAAAAGTTACACTCAGAAACATTAGAAGAACAAGCAGCACAATGTAGAAAAGTCATCACATAATCACTGTCCATCAGGACAGGCTCCATGGTTTGTCACATGTCTTGTCGACATTTGCATTTTTCGCAAATAGTGTTTGTTTGTACACGTTACTTTGTCAGTTGGCAGTTTTAACATTTAAAGTAAAACCAGCACCATGGACAGAGACACGGACA